TTTCTACTGCCAGGGACTGCAGGTAACCATGTATTGATGGGAGGTAACCAGAATGGGGTTTACTATTGGAGTAGAAATATTGCTTATATGGGCAACAGTTATGTGCTGTTAACAAAGAAGAATGACTAAGATTATGACCACCATTTACTACAAACCAGTGGCATCTGGATGGAGAAAAAAATAGAAGCTGATATTTACAACAGGGTAGTTCAGGATGCATCCCAAGATCTGGAGGTCTGGCGACCCAAACAATCAAGAGGTAACTTCAACAAAAAAAATTAGCTTTGTGGATAAACCACCAGCTGAAAGAGTTTTAAAAAAAAATTATCCTGCAGAACAAACAGTTAATGGCACACAGTTGTGAGCTGCTAGCTGTGTATAAACTCAAGGACACAAAACTGTTAGCTAAACAATACATCGGAATGTATGTGAGATCACCATTCCATTTATTCTAGGAACCAACTTATCTGCAAGATACCAAAGGAATGATAATAATAATGCACACAGCTACACAAAGGTTGTTTATTCATTGAATCTCTGTGCCTTGAAAGATGTCATTAGAACATTAGGGACGCTGGACAAGGGAGGACGATTAATATACCTAAGCCAGACATAAACTGTTATGTTAAGAACAAAGTGAGGCCTGTAGTGCAATCAGACATGATAGAATGTACACGCCTACATGCTAATTGCATACTACAATTAGACTGGCATACCTTCATAGTAATTGGTTAATTGTACTCATAGTCTACGTATGATGCAAACCTATTCAATAGTAACAATGGATTTAGATAACTATACCCCTCTTAATTGGTATATGATAATTTCCTGTAACTGAATCGGAGAGTATAACTGCCTTAATTCTTTGTCCAGTGTGTCATGTTTAGATACTTTGAAGTCCCTTGCTATAGTGAGTAATAAAAGCCTTTTTAAACACTTTGTAGATCTCTCTGAATAAGGGTCAGAGTACAGCAGGGTGACTATCAGACCCTCAATGTCCCACAATGCTGTCAGTTTAGTCATCTTGCTTGTTCATACAGAATTATGCAAAAAAATTACATTGGTACAACTTCAAATGTCTATTTCATTACATTACTGAATGCCAATCATTATAAACTACACATTTGCAGCTGAATGCTTTACAGATTGAGAATATTTACTAAATTCAGCAAAGGCTACATGAATACACATTTCTGAAGAAGGGTCCAGACCCGAAACATCAGCTTTCCTGCTCCTCTGATGCTGCTTGGCCTGCTGTGTTCATCCAGCTCTACACCGCTGTTCTGGTGAAAAGGACTTAATTTTACTGCATTTCTGATGAATTCAGAATTAGATCATCATTACAAAGAAGCTATACTTTCAGCATTATGGGATCAATAAACCAGCCATGACTGTGCCCTTTGTGTTGATGACAGCAAAGTCTAATTAGAAAGCTTAGAAATTTTGAATTAACTTAGCAGTAGTGAAATTAGTGCACAAAATGTCATAAGTTCCGATGTATATTGGTGATTTCAGCCTTGCAGAAAATTCTATCCCAGTTGTCTTGCTCTTCCTTATTCTCAACTGCAAAAGAATTCAGTCTCTGCCATTAGCTGATGTCAAAGAGGCACTTAAGATTCAGGAGATGTGTAAATGTTACATTCAGAAGTAAAATTAACTTATCCATTTTAAAAGCCAATCAATTATGGCAATTGAAGATTTCTGTCAAAGCTAGACATATGTCAGTTCAGTATCTACTTTAAATGGTGACAAGGAAAATCAATGCACTTATCCCTGATTCATTGAACAAGTAGTGAAGAAGGCACTCAGTTGAGCACATTCCTCAACCATAGAGTCTTAACACAACATTACTGGTAAATACGCAGCTCTTCATTGAGGCTTTCCCCTGCCTGGATGATGCACTGTAACTAAAAAGCTGAAAAACAACATAATAAGAATTTCCATCTCACTGAGCAAGTTCTTAAATTGATACATATCCAACAATCTCTCCAAAAACTCTGGTCACATTTTGTCGAATTCCACCACAGCTGCTGAGACAATCCACAACATTTTAAAACAAATCAACAACATTGATTAAATAAAACAACTCATAATATTCTAACAAAATGTCATTTCATCCAATGTCCTAATGATAACTGATCCTTTAAAAACATCCAGAATCCAGATCCAGATAGGCACCTGCTCCAAAAATTCAGTTCTTCCTTGTTTCAACTTTTGTTGAGATCCATTCATTGGTTTTTGAGATAAGTGTTTACAGTCAAATAGTAACAAAATAACGAACAGAGATGAAAACAATGCCTCCACTCTAATTCAGTATAGGAAGTAATGGTAGTTCTCACTCCCACTCCTGTTTGCACGCAACAGGAAATGGTGTGTGGACTGCTACATCAGTTGAAACAGTGAAAGAAAAGGACAAAAAGTCACTTAAGCAATCACCCAATCAGCCAGCTTGGAAAAAGTAGCATGCTTATGGGAGAAAATATCATCATTTAAAGCCCAAGGCTAGTCAGGATAATGAGGCTGACTCAAAGAAGTTACATGGAATAATGCGACATACTTTTACTATTTACATCCAAAGAAGGGGTCCACTTAATTGAATGAAGATAACATTTGTCTGCTATTAGCATTGTGCACATTCGTTTCAATTGGTTCAATTGATAAGACCCTTGCCTGAACCAGAAGATTATCAGATCAAGTCCGCTCCAGGACTTGAACTTAGAAGTCAAGGCTAACAACACAATACATTATTGAGGAATTGTTGAATGGTTGTAGTTACTATCGTTCAGCAGAGATGTTAAACAGAGGCACCCCAAATGCCCTATCAAATGGTCACAGAAGATCTCAGGGTACAATTACGAAGAAGGAGGGAATCATTCCCGATGAATGATTGAATAATATGTCAAATATCTATCCTTCAAACGACATCACAAAAATAGCTTACCTGGTTATCATATTGCTATTTGTGGGAGTTTGTCATACACAACTTGGCCACGTGTCCTGCAGAGTAACAGTGACCACACTTCAAAGAGTATTTAATTGGCTGTAAAGCACTTTGGGATATCCGATGTCATAAATACCCTTCACAAATGCAAATTTTAATTTCAGTCTGCAAATAAAGAGGCTCAATAATTCAGAGTCATAGAGCCGTACAGCATGCAAACAGACCCCTCAGTCCAACTCGTCCATGCCAACCAGATATCCTAAATTAATCTAGTCCTATGTGCTAACATTTGGCCCATATCCCTCTAAACCCTTCCTATTCATATACCCATCCAGATGCCTTTTAAATGTTGGAATTGTACCAGCCTCCACCACTTCCTCTGGCAGCTCATTCCATACACGCACCACCCTCTGCATGAAAAAGTTGCCCCTTAGGTCTCATTTATATCTTTTCCTCTTAAACCTATGCCCTCTAGTTTTGGAGTACCCCACTCCAGGGAAAAGACCTTGGTTATTCACTCTATCCATGCCCCTCATGATTTCATGAATCTCTATAAAGTCACTCCTCAGCCTCCGATGCTCCAAGGAAAATAGCCCCAGCCTATTCAGCTTCTCCACATAGCTCAAACTCTCCAACCCTGGTAACATCCTTGAAAGGGTTCAGAAAAAATTTACAAGTTTCACAATATCCTTCCTATAGCAGGGAGACCAGAATTGAATACAGTATTCCAAAAGTTGCCTACTAATGTCCTGTACAGGCATAGCACGACTTCCCAACTCCTATATTCCATGCACTGACTGATAAAAGCAAGCATACCAAACGCCATCTTCACTATCCTGTCTACCTGCGACTCCATTTTCAAGGAACAATGAACCGGCACTCCAAGGTCTCGTTGGCCTTGACCTTACCATCAAGTGTATAAGTCCTGCCCTCATTTGCCTTTCCAAAAAGCAGCACCTCACATTTATCTACATTAATCTCCATCTGCCACTCCTCGGCCCATCGGCCCATCAGATCAAAAGCCCGTCGTACTCAAAGGTAACCTTCTTCATAGTCCAGTACACTTCCAATTTTGGCGTCGTCTGCAAACATACTAACCATACCTCCTACGTTCATATCCAAATCATTTAAATAAATGACAAAAAGCAGTGGACCCAGCACAAATCCTTGTGGCACACCACTCGTCACAGACCAGACCTCCAGTCTGAAAGTCAACCGTTCACCACCAACCTCTGTCTCCCACTTTCGAGATAGTTCTGTATCCAAATGGCTAGTTCTCCCTGTATTCCATATGATCTAATCTTGCTAACTAGTGTACCACTCGGAACCTTGTCGAACACCTTACTGAACTCCATAAAGATCATGTTCACCACTCCGACTTCATCAATGCTCTTTCTTCAAAAAACTCAATCAAGTTAGTCTGACTATATATTAAAAGGTGCATTTGGAAAGAGTGAAGTAGCATCTGTATTGATTTGCAAAAGATTTAATATTAAATTCAGAGCTCACAAAATCCTGTGCCCAAACCACTGGATGATATTAATCAGATATTAGGCAACACACACAGCCCTGAATAGAAAGTGTTTGAATGGCCCCTCTGTACCACAGCGTAAGGCAAACCAACAATTTAAACATTCAATTAGGGATTTTCCTATTGTAAAAACTTCTAATCTGCAATAATGCACGAGATGAGGAATTTATATGTGAAATCAAATGCAATTGTTTGCAAGATCACAATAAAAAGGATACATTTACTTGTTTAGTTTTTACCAAAATCAAATTAATTTTGGAAAGTTTTAAAACTTTATTTTATTCTTCGCTCATTTTGGATGAATTTTATTCCCACCTGCTTTCCCGATTAAGAGACACTGTCTTGGCTTTGAGCAATTACAAGACTCTCATAAATTACGTCAGTATATCTAAGCATCTGAATTTTACAAAAGAATTTTCAAATTGTATTAATTCTTGGAGCATTTTGCAATCAGACATAAAGACATAATACTCAAAGCATAAGAATTCAAAAAGATTTAACAGGGAAAAATATCTTCTATTGCCTTACTTTGCAAATGGTCGACATTGGTTTTCTCCAGCATAGCAGGTCCTAAATCGTGAAGTGCAGCAACTTGGTCTCCAACACACAGCCCACCAGAACACAGAGTTACACCCATGCTTGTGTCATTTCTTCCTTTGCTTTTTCTTCTGTTTTTCTTTTTCTTATTGCTCTGTACTTCCATTTCATTAATTATTTGCACATTACTCTCTGTTCTTCCTAGGTCAACATTCTGACTACAACTGTCAAAAGATGGCTTATACCTTGGCAATATAGACTCACAGTAATGACCACTTTCCCCAGTTGCTGCTGTTATTTCAAGCCCCACAAACTCTTTGTGGTGATCTGGATATGGTTTTGGATGGTCTTGTTTAGGCTTAGTTTCTTTGAACGTAACTTCATTTGCTGATTCAATATCTTCATCCTGGTTGATGGTGATGTCTCTTTGCTTGTTTTCCTTTCTGGTCACCAATCCCTGTTTCTTCTTCCAAGAATCAAGCATGTCGGACTCACCGGTATCCCCAACTTTTTCCAAAAGACTAACAGGCACGTTTGCAAAGAGAGCAGTGCCGCCAACGTCCATGGAGAGGCTACATTTCGCATTATCTCCTAGATATTGTCCATTATTAACATCCTTCTGTTGCATCATTTCTACTTCTGAAAGATTCAAACTACTCCCAGGAATAACTCCACATTCATCATTTTTGGCTACGCAATTGATTTGCTGAGCAAATTGGTTTAGATAGGCCCTAAACCTTCCACTACGATGCTGATTTACCAGCCTGGAATAAGCATTTTTTTGTGGATAATGAATCTTACTAACACTATGTCTTGCATCAAAAGAGGGAAATGTTTCTTTAGTTTGTCCTGAATGATCCATTGGTGATGTTGATAGTCACAAAAGAGACAAGTGAAGCTGTAGAGAAAACAATACTCATCATTATCAGATATACATAATATATTATCCTGGAATATCCAAAAGCAAATATTTAAAATAGCTTTAAAACAATAGCCCAGCGATATCAGGACAAGTGATCAAAATCTCAGTCAAAGAGGCAGGGGAAAGAGTGAGACTTGGTGAGAACACTATTATTAAAGAATGTTATATTTGACTCACAAAATCACTGAGGCCAATTATTTTAAAAGTAATACTCATTTTCTAACAGCACTAACCTCCATAAGTGTACTTAAGATTATCTTACTCCCTTTGCTTAGCTTTCTAATGGATTATAATTAAATTAAAATTATTTGACTCCTCTCCATCAGTGACAGGTGACAGACTGGTGTATCAGCTGAACCCAACCATGCCTTAATACAATCTTCACACATTATTATTTTCCACCAATCACTTGGACAGTCCTGAGGAAGGAGATGTCCTGGTAGATCTCTCTATACACAGGAAATACTGAAACAGTTATAATATTCCCCATTATTGTTGCAGCTGACATCTGCTAACTCAGCACAGACCAGATGGAAAATAATACACTTCTGATGTCTATGGTTTAGTAGCACACCATAGGGTGTTTATCCACCAAAAGTATTATCTGTCAAGTTTGCAAACTAAATTTCAACAATGAATGGATACTTGTTTGCTTCAAAATGACTCAAATTTTGGGTTGGAGTTGTGCACATTTGTTGGACTACAAGGTGATCCTGATTAGCTGATTTATATAAGCTAGAGATAAATTTTCCCTGGAGCATCAGAGGCTGAGGGGAGAGTCTTGTAAAGGTTAATAAAATCATGAGGGGCATGGATAAGGTGTTTAACTAAGGTCTTTTCCCCAGGGTAGGGGAGTCTAGAACTAGAGGACATAGGTTTAAGGTGAGAGGGGAAACATTTAAAAGGGGCAACTTTTTCACGCAAGAGTGGTGCATGTATGGAATGAGCTGGCAGAGGCGGTGGTGGAGGCTGGTACAATATCAATATTTAAAAGGCATCTGGATGGGTACATAATAGGAAGGGTTTAGAGGGATATGGACCAAATGCTGGCAAATGGGACTACATCAGCTTGGGATTTGTGATCAGCATGGATGAGTTGGACCAAAGGGTCCGTTTCCATGCTGTACACCTCTCTGACTCTAAATGAAAAAGTGGCCATATACCCAGCAGTTATGTCTAATCCTAATGTTGAAATACACAACAGATGCTGGCTGAAGGTGAGGAGGTGCATAGGAAAGATTAGGGAGGAGAGCTGTAACTATTAATTGCCAAGAAAATAAGTTAATCCATAAAGAGTCATGAACCAGTGTCACTGAGAAACAAGTGTTCAATGTCCCACTTTGTTTTAAAGAGACACAAAAAATTAAGTTTAACTTCAACAGAGCTAAAAGAAACTAACAAAAATAAATAAGAACCGAAAGAACGGCGGATGCTTAAATCAGGAACAAAAACAAAGTTTCTGGAAAAGCCCAGCAGGTCTAGCAGCATCTGGTGAAGGAAAATTCACGAGTTAACATTTCGTGTCTGGTGACCCTGCCTCAGAAAAGTTCTCAGGCAGGGTCACCGGACCCGAAACATCAACTCTGTTTTTTCCTTCACTGATGTTGCCAGACCTGCTGAGCTCTTCCAGCAACTCTGTTTTCGTTCCAAAAATAAATAAGAATGTGTTACTGCATGTCTCTTACATCCTTCATTCTGTGGCATCAGTGTACAAATATGTACAAGGCCACAGAAGCAAGACAAGCAGCCAGCTTGCACACTTTCCTCAAATTCATCTCAACAGTTATCACCCAGTCAAGGAGCAAGCTGAATAGGTCATCCAATATGCCCATTGTAACTAAAGATCAAGGTCCAACTACCTTCAGCTGCTTCATCAATAACATTTTCTCAATCATGAGGTCAGAAGTGGGATGTTCACTGATGATTGCAAAGTGGTCAATTCCATCCACAACTCCTCCGGTAATACAGCAGCCCATGCCTGCATGTTTAAAGATCTGCACAGTCAGGCTTGAGCTGCTGAGTAGCATGTAACATGGACACCATAAAAGTGCCAGGAATTGACCAACAAGAGAGAATCTATGTATCTTCCCTTAATGCTCAATGATGCCAAGATTTCTGAATGCCCCCATTATCAACATGTTGGGAACTACCTTTGAACAGAAACTTATTTGCATCAACCACACAGATACTGTGGCTACAAAGCAAGTCAGAAGCTGAGAATTCTCTGGGGAATGACACACTTCTTGACTCCCTAAACTCCCCTGCCCACCACCTCCAAGGCATGAGTCAGGAGCACACTGGAATATTTTCCACTTGCCTAGATTAGTGCAATTCAGACGACACAAGAAGTTTTATACCAATCAGGTCAAAGCAGCCTGCTTGATCACCCACCACCTTAAGCATTCACTCCCTACACCATTGACACACAGTTCATTGCAGCACAATGTAACATTTCCAAATTGTACTGCAATAACTTGCAAATGGTCTTTTTCAATAGCAACTTCCGTAATACCTAAAGACAGGATTAGTAGATTTTTAGGAACTTCACTGCCTGCAAGGACACCTCCAGTCACCATTCTGACTTGGAATAATAATCACCTTTCCTTTACTGTCAATATCCTGGAAGTCCCTCCTTCACAATACTACACAAACTGTTCCAGCATGCAGTTCACCACCATCTCCTGAAGGACAATTACATAATTGCAATATGAAAGGCTGGCCGAGAGAATGACGGTTACATCGCATGAACTGACTACAAAATGTAGTTCAGATACATTCAAATATTTAAAATGGGGTTGTAACCTCACAAAAAAAAGTGGAATACATTCATCCAGGTAGCAGAAGTTTCGAATAAGCTAGGAGCCTGTCAAAGAGGGGAAACATTGTTGCCCAATAAGTGCGACATGTAGGGCAATGACCTTAGATGACACAAGCACAACGAAGGACTCTCAGACTGACAGACCAACATCAAGCTCCCCACCAGCAGCGCCACAAGATTAGCAACTGGAGAAACAAGTCTGCTTTCCCAATGTAAAGTCATGCACTCCTTTAACCAGGAAGGCCTGAAATCAACAGATGCAGACTCGGTGAGACTCAAAGATGAGTTTCCCCTTCAAGATTCCACTGTCATTGTCATGTACAGAACAAAACACCTATTCCCAGTTGCTGTGACTTACAGAAGGGAAAAGCTGACATGAACAAGGTGTCCGTTCCTCAGTTCAACGGCCGCTGGAACCTCTCGAACACTGCGCGTCAACAAACTCCTTCCAGGTCATACTTTCCGGAAGCCGGGGGTAGGCGCAATGCATTGTGGGAGATGTGTTCTGGTCCATCACTCGCTTTGGTGCGCCGTGGCCCCAGAACTTTGAAAAATTCTTGCAGCCCCCCCACCCCATTCACATCTCTTATATCTAAAATGCAATGTCTTATAATACGTGCATTCTTCCCATAGTTTACAAGATTAATTCTTTAAAAAAAAAAGTTTGAAGTGTCCACATTTGCCTCGCAAATGAGGACGTTGCCTGTTTTGACGACTAGCAACCATCGTTGCCACCTTGGACAGCAACTCCACAGACAACAAAGCGGCTGACAATAGGAAACGTCTGCTTTGAAATAAACGTATTATTTAGAAATCAGACATGGTATATCGTAATACAGGAAAACACATTAAAGCTGACATCAACCTACCTTCCCTTACGTAGTTACAGCGACTTCCTCCATTATTTTTAGAAATAGTTAAATATTAGAGAAAAAAAACAGCCGTCAATTCGAGTAAATACTGGAACCGTCCTCATGCCTCCAGATAATCGGTTTAACGCGTCCGTAATTTTAGCAAATTGTTTTTGTAATCATAGCATGATAATATTACCTATAAACCATCTTCAAATCCCAAATCCTAACTTGGTCAGTTTTTAATTTTGTTTTCACAGATCCGTTAGTGGGAATTTTTGATTTAGGTAGGTTTCGACTCCACCTCTGAGCAGGTGACATTTTCAGTGCCACATTATTATTGCTCGGCTGCTAACGTATAACAAAACCTGAATGAAACCCGTGAGATCACTATTCGAATGGACGCTGCATTTAGGTTCTCGAGTTTACATTTGATTCACTCATACATATATATTTATATATACTGGCAATCGACAGTATAATATTATCACCAAGTAATGGTTACGGTAATAATGTCGGGTGGGACATAACCTAGTACATATTACTGAGGACCGTTCCTCTCCACAATGGCTCGTAATGCGGACATATAGTGTCAGTAACAATAAGAGGGGAGAATATGTTTAGGTGAGATTGCCGTTCAATATTAAGCGCATTCGTGATCCGTCAAAACTGCCCTAATCAACTTTACCACCTCGCTGCTGTTTAGCTGAAATTAGTGTATTTTACTTTGCTACGAGGCATGAATGAATTGTTTTTAACGACAAATTGTAGAGATTATCAATCGCTTGTGTTCGTGACAAAATGCAGAGTTCCAGGTATAGACATTATTGTTGCAAAATTTCTATCCCTGTTTTAAGACGCAGCTATTGACAAAATAAACAATGGTGAAAATAATTTGATTTTAAAATACGACAAACTGAATTGAGCCACAATCGAGTCTACTGTTAACCATCAAGGCGATTCCTAGTCTTTTTCATGTGATTTAGTGAAACTAATAAGACAGAATTAGCTGTGGGAGACCAGTGTCAATTTCGAAGGTTTAGCACAAGTCAGAGAGAACAAAATGTGCTTTTTGGAGCACGGAGGGGTATTGGGTCAAATTGTTTTACAGTGTTATAATGGGATCCTCTCTGGAAAACGATATATCTGGATTTATTAAGACAAGATGTAAATGTTTTAATTCATTCCTCAGAGGTCATATCGATGATCCTTAGAGCACAAATGAGTCCACGCTTGTGCGAAGAAGTAACGATTAAAATAAGCAAAAGAAAGGAACGAAGGAATTAAACTGAATGTAATCTTTAGAGTTAGCTATATACACAAGGATCATTTTATGCTTAACATTGAGAAGCTGATGCAATGTTTTTAATTTGGTATGGACTTTTCTTTCTTTCATTGCATCAATTAACCATATGTTACCTTCAAGGGTCCAGCAAAAGTTTAGTTTAAGTCAAACTCTTTAACAGTATAAGAGTGTAGGGGCATTTTTAGAAGGGAGATCAGGAAGGGAAAGAGGGGATATGAGATAGCCTTGGCAGATAAGGTTAAGAACAATCCAAAGAGATTATACAAATACATTAAGAGCAAGACAGCAACTAGAAGGAGAGAATAGGGCTCCTCAAAGATCAAAGGGGTAATTTTGGTGTTGAACCTCAGGAGATTGGAGAGAGATTAAATGAATGCATTGTGTCAGTTTTACTGTGGAGAATGAAATGGAGGCTAAGGAACTCTGGGAAATAAACATTGATGTTTTGAAAACAGTTCACATTACAGAAGAGGAGTGCTGGAAGACTTGGAAAATAAATAGATGGATAAATCTCCAGAACCTGATCTAATGTATCGCAGGACATTGTGGGAAGTTTGGGAGGAAATTACGGGGCACTTTGCAAAAATATTTGTATCATCTATAACTACAAATGAGGTGCCAGATGACTGGATAGTGGCTAATGTTGTGTAATTGTTTAAGAAGGGATGTAAGGAGAAGCCAGGGAATTATAGACCTGTGAGTCTGACTTCAATAGTGGGTAAATCATCAGAGTTGAGTCTGAAAGATAGGATTTATAAGCATTTGAAAAGGTAAGGAATGATTAGGTATCAGCAGTATGGTTTTGTGCATGGGAAATCATGTCTCACAAATTTGTTTGAGTTTTTTTTATTAAGGAAGTAATCAAAATGATTGATTAGGACAGAGCAGCAGACATTGTTTACTTGGGAAATAAAAACCAAAAGAACTGTGGATGCTGTAAATCAGCATCTTGGGCTTTTACTTGGGCTTTTTTAATAAAGCCTTTCATAAGATTCCACATGGTAGACGAATTAGTACAGTTAGATCACATGGGATTTAGAGTGAGTTTGCCAATTGGATACAAAATTGGTTTAATGGCAGGAGACAGGGAATGGTGGTGGAAAGTCATTTTTCGGACTGGAGGCCTTTTACCAGTGGTGTTCCACAGGGATCAGTGCTGGGTCCACTTTTGTTTGTCATTTATATTAATTATTTAGATGAGAATATAAAAGGCATTGTTAGTAAATTTGCAGATGACGCCAAAATTGGTGGTACAGTGAACAGTGAAGAAGTTATCTCAGATTCCAAAGAGATATTGATCAATTGGATCAATGGGCTGAGGAGTAGCAGATGGAATTTAATTTGGATAAATGTGAGGTATTGCATTTTGGTAAAATAAACAAGGGCAAGACTTATACAATCAGTAGCAGGGCCTTGAGTAGCGTTGTAGCACAGAGAGAAGCAGGACTGCAGATACACAATTCTTTGAAGTTTGCATCACATGTAGACATGGTGGTTAAGAAGGTATTTAGGACACTTGCCTTCATTGCTCAGGCCTTAGAATATAAGAGTTGGGATGTTGAGATTGTACAGGATGTTGGTGGGGCCTCTTCTGGAGTATTATGTCCAGTTCTGGTTGTCCTGTTATAGGAAAGATATTATTAAGCTGGAGAGGGTTCAGAAAAGATTTACCATGATGTTGTTGGGAATGGAGGGTTTTTGTTATAAGGAGAGGCTGGATAGACTGATACTTTTCTCACTGGAGCTTAGGAAGTTGAGTGGTGACCTAATGGAGGTTTATAAAATCATAAGTAGTATAGATAAGGTGAATGGAAACAGTCTTTTCCCTAGGGTGGTGGACTTCAAGTCAAGGGTGCATATTTTTAAGGCGAGAGGAGAAAGATTTAGAAAAGACATGAGAGGCAACATTTTACTCAGAGAGTGGTTCATATGTGGAATGAACTTCCAGGGGAGGTGATGGATATGGGTACAGTTACAATTTTTAAAAGACACTTGGATAAGTACATGAATAAGAAATGTTTGGAGGGGATACTGGCCAAGTTCAGTGGGACTAGTTTAGTTTGGGATTATGATTGGCATGGATTGGTTGGACCAAAGTGTCTGTTTCCGTGCTGTATGACTCTGTGGCTTTATGACTCTGTTACAGTGGAAATGACACGCCATTTCCTTCAACCCAATTGAATAATGTCCTCTTAGTCACCATAACTCTGTGAAATGGATCAGTGTTGCCAAGAAATACAGAAAAGCATAAGAAAAAGACACAAGAAGGGAATATCACGTTACACATTGTTAATAGAATATAAATATAACATGAAGAAGTGTGAGAAACTACATTTTTATTATATTTTGTAGGAAAAGTCAGTCAACTTAACATAGGTGTTTCTAAGAGTATCGAGCTCATTAGTGTCTTTCTTCACAATGCAACGTGACCTAAGCCCAGTTGGCTGTCCTGTCCTGATTCTGTCAAGTAATTCAACATTTTACATGGCACTTCCTGGTGTTTCAAAGACCCATGAATTGTTATATACCCTAACATTGTTGTCGAAACTAATCTCTAACGAATTATGGCATCTATTCCAACGTCAGAAGGAAGTCTTTTCTGTATCTATCCCCTGCTTGGGGTGATAAGCATATTAGTCAGAAGTGAAACATTATCAATCCTTTGTTTATTAGTTAACTTAGTTTGGATGGCGAAAGGTATGTTTATTATCTCACGGATAGCAAGCATCCTCCAGCCTTTGATATGGAGCACTAAGCAACAACCGCCATTGAAATGATACTTTTGAAGTGGTATCTCTTATCGTCTCAGAGAAATAAAACAGTTCAAACAGCCATAGCATGTCAGGCTGAGGGAAACATGGTAGAAGTAAGTTTTGACATAACCTTTAAATGTGAATAATTGGGTTGTTAGGTAGAACATTATTTAATGAAATGGCGCCTGCGTTTGTTTAGGTAAAGGTTTTTGCCGCTGGAACGGAAAGAGGGGGAAATGCAAACAAAACCAGAGCCAGAGAAACGGAGGGCACCTATCGGTGGTTACAAGAGTGAAACGTAGAGCAAGTACCTTGGATTTAGTTATCTTAGAAGTAGTAAATGCAAGAACAGTGGAGATAGTGAAGCAAAACAAAATGTAGGGAACAGAAATAAAATAAAAAATGTTGGGGATACTCAGCTGGTCTAGCCAATGAGGGGAAGAAAACAATGCTAAACTGTCTAAAGAAGCTATGAATAGCAGAATGATCAAACAGAAAGATTATCAAGAGAGTAAAACCCAATCCAGTAAGGAGAGGGAAAGGAAAATGAGGTTAGAAATGAGGACATGAATCTGTTGTACTCGGTTTTCTGTACGGAAAGTTGAAGAGTGTCAAATGGATAAATGTGGAGCTGTTCCTGAAGCTCTTACATTGAGCTTCATTGGAATATTGCTGGAGACCAAGACCAGAGGTGAAGCGCCTGAGCAGTTGCAAACAGAACGGAAGTGTTATCCGAAACAATGACCTTTCCTGCAGTTGATATCCCCAATATTGAACGAACGAAAGAAGGACAAAAACGGACATTTGTGAATGAAGTCTCCCTACCATAGAGGGTATCGTGGGTAGAAACCTAGAATTGACCAAGAAATTAAAATTTCAGTGTAAGTGAGTTTAAGACTGGGGGAAAGCAACCGATCAGTTAAAACAATAATGTTGAGAAAGCAATGAAATAAGAAAAGCAGCTGAGCATGGTAAGGATTGCGGCTGTCTAACACGTTACTATAGACTCCCAACGTGGAAATCCACTGCGGAGCATGAATTCTAACAGCATAGAAAACCTTGAGCTAAACACTTGCGACAAGTCACTTCCATCCCGTTCAAATGTTAATAGTCGGCGCACTTCCGAATACTCAGATCTTTTCACAATACCACAAACCGAACTTTGTCAAACATTTGTATGAAAGGCGTCTTTTTATCAGTTAGGGTGTGAGTCATCACTTCTTTTAAGTGACAGTTTGAAAAATTAATCACAGTCATGAAGAAGCCATACCGGACCGGAAAAGTTTAACTCAGTTTTTCTCTTCACAGGTGAGTTTCTCCAGCATTCTCCGTGTTTCTATTAGTCACGCATTTAATGATTCAACTGTTTCTGAACTTCCTAAATTGATAACTGATTCCAATATTATAAACCTGACTAAAGCTTGGCCGTATTGGGTACTTACTTCCGACTGAGCCTCCATTTAAGTTAGTTTGATCATCCGAAGAAATATTGGTATTCTAGTTTAGCTTTATTCCAGTGAGATAGGTGCATTAAGAACAACGCTTTCCAAAACCCGGTGCTCATAACATTAAAATGGTCCGTCCTGGAATAAAGTATGTCAGAGATAAGGTGACAGGCAGTTGGAGTGGGGGTAACATGGTTTATGGATCGCAGTTTGAAAGCCCCCAATTTAGAGCCGGATGTGACAGTAGCTTCCAAGCACACACATACACACGACAAACCATTGATAGCCAGGATAGAGCAGAGTTCCTACGGGTTCTCTCAAAAAAAAAGAGATTTCGCCGGGAAATGCAGTGAAATATTGAAACTGATTTCTTTTAAATTTTAATTTAATGAAGAACATCCGAATATATAGGGTCATAAAGCGTAGAAATATAGCGACAGACAGGAAAATGTCTTCTGACAAGTTCAGGCGACCTGACTTCCATTGAATATCAGGCGTATTAGCATTTCTGTGATTGAATATGAAAGAGGCAGTTCACAGACATTGCACTCAAAATTCATTGCAGCGCATTCTTCCCGCTGAGAATCTTTGATAAAATGCCTGTTCTGCCGATGAATGGAACGGGCCTCAATTTTTCACATCCCTCCAAGAGAAAATAACGACGGACAAATAATTGACGGAGAAACAACTTGATGTATTTGGACCCTGATATCTGTAGGTCTACATTTCAAAATTTTCCAATTTAAACTTTTATCATTCTTAAAAATCTATCTCGCAAGTAACACATTAATAAGGTGTGGAATATTTGATGCGCAATGATTTGCTAAAGGCAGAGCAAACCCTTCAGTTGTATAACCTCAACTCTGGAACAATGGAACTGAACTTGGTTCTACCGACCTTACATTTTAATTGAAAGCGGGCGCCGATTTTTTTTTTCTGTGTAATTAAAACGGACAAACATTTATTTCCCATCATTGAATGATTTTTTTTGCGAATATATACATAAATTATTGGTGGTTTAATAAATGAGATCACCATTTGTCCCCATTCTTACGAAGTTGTTCTTTTGAGATTGAAGCAGCGAATTACCTCAAAGCCAAGATCAAACTATTCATAAAGGGAACATTAATAGTCACTGAGGTTTGCAGTGCGTCTTCATATTAATTTATCTTTGGCAACTTATATTACAGATTATATCAGCATGATTGCTCTGTAAAATCTCACATGCTTACTGTTGTATGAAACAGATAATTCTGTTTTCTCAAATGCAGAGCGTTGCAGCTTTTACTAAAGTTAACGAATAAAGAGAATCCTCCCATTATAGCGGACCGTTTTCAAGATATTAAAGATTACTTCCAGTTTCAGAAATAAGATGCGTCGGTTTGTGCAATATGCTTTTGCGATCTAAAGCTTTTCGGCCCCGTCACCGATTGTGTAAGTTATTACTTTAGTGAAAAGTGAAAATATTTCAGACTTTTTTGTCAATCATGAGACCCCAGACCACTCCCTATGTGGTTTGCACACCTAAACTCCAAATCTGTGTTCAGCGTTACATCTTGCTGCATGAATATACATCAGATGATTATGTCTATATTAAAATAAATTCACTTACAATTGTATTGCCTTATGGTGTCACTGTTTCATTGTTCAAATGGTTTTGATGGTAATTGGTAAATAATATAGATTGCATCAAGCATCCCGAAAAATGTTAGTACCGTTTGTAGCCAGAATTGTTTATTGCAGTTCTTGCACATTGTTCTCGCCACATCTGAGCTACTGTGGCGTGGGAATGGAAATCAGACAATAAAACTGTCAAAGGAACCTGTGATTTCTGATTCATTCCACGTATGTCGAAGCCACCCAACGATCTCTCCGTTCTTGGGTTTATTAAACTTCCCGTGCCAAGATATAAGCAACTCAGTATGGGGATGGTACGACAATTTTGGAAATTCTGCTTCGTATATGTGTGTCGTTTGCTGAAGAAAAGGGAGAAAGTCATAATCAAAGTAAAATCCTCTCCGTGTACAGTTATAAATGGTTTGTCAATCCATCCGCCCATTCTTTCTTCTTAGTATAAAATAGTCAATGTTTCCATTGGCTGGATGCCACTATTTAATTATTTACTCATAGACCCACTGTTGGAGAATCATTAAAGCTTGCAATTTTTAAAGGCAGCAATTTGCAGTGAAGCAGCAGGGGGAAGATGATGATCTAAAATAGTAAAGGAAGAAGAAAAGGCTGGGTTTTCCTTCCTCTGGCCTTAGTAAGTTCCAAAAAGAGACGCGTGGTGACGTAATTTCACATTATAAAATGATTGAAAGGAGCCGAGAAAACAGCAGACGACCGTTGATCTACAAGCAGGCAGAACTCAGAACGTAACCAACAAATTTTCATTTCATTGTATCTAGGCGTAACATTGGCGATCTAACCAAACGAGAATGAACATCTCCTGGATGTTGGTTTCTGGACTATTCTTGGCTGTTTTGCCCACAAGGACGGCAGCAACCCCCCTGTTTCGCTCACAGTCAGTAAGTTGATGATAATTGTGAAGACAAGAAGTCATGGGGGATCCGGATTGGGGAGGATGCAAAAGTGTTTGTGTAATCCAACACTATACCACTAAACTGGCTGGAAAGAGTAATTGCGTGTTTGTTAGAAACGTGTTGCCTGTTTTCGCTGTCTTTTAATGTTGAATAGTAGTGAAACTAATAATTTGCATGTTCAGTGTTAATCAACTGTAAAAAAAAGTTGTTTACAAATAGTAGCATCCGGAAAAGACAATGCAATTTGTTTTTAAGACAGATGCAATTCTTCAATTATATCAACCTTTATAACAGTTATTGAATTGCATGTGAATACATTTTTGTGAATTGCCATGTTACATTGATAAATGCTGATTAGCTGGTAGTATGTGATCTCACGTTTAGTTCCAACTGTGTCTTGGTGAAAATTTCAGATATAAGGTAAGTACATAAACGGAATACTGTTTACCATTTTATTATCGTAAGCAAGGTCATTGAACTACTTTACACATACGTTGAGTTAATGTATTGTCTATTTCCGCTTCCCTTTACAGGACCTTGCACATTTATTAGGTGAAGAATTGTCTGAGTACCTTTCCTCAGAGGAAAGAGATGTCCCTGCACTTGTGAATCCCAAGGTCCGGTTTTTACGGGACCTTAGCCCCGACACCAGGTCAAAGAGCACCTGGGCTCGGCGGCTTTTCAACGACTACAACAACCCCAGGAAGTTCCGAGGAATCAATAAGAAAGGGTCGTCCAAGGGCTGTTTCGGACGCAAGCTGGACAGAATAGGAGCGATGAGCGGTCTGGGTTGTTAGATCTGCGACACCTAGCGACGGTAAGTACTCACTGCAACAAAACAAAACACGAATTTGCTTCTTTTTTTGTTGGTAGTTCACATTCTCTCCAAAATTAAAAAAAAAGTTCTCTCGCCCGTTCCTATTGCATTCCATGGCATATTTACTGTTGGTGTCTACTGCATGCTGTCTACAGCAGCTGCAACTAGACACGACACTGGCTTCATTTTGCAGCAAAGAAATCCAGGATTTTGTTTTCAGATTCAATTTACTTAAACAGTGATTGCAACAGGGAAACGTAAAGCGTTTTAGTCATATTGCGACAGTTTTCGACAGTTTTTGTTAACTAGCAAGTTTCCAAAATCTAACCTATAGGTCGTAACGGAGTGTAATTTGAAATGCACGTTTTGTTGAGTATTGTCATCCATTTTAGGTGGGGCTATTGGTTCGATCTGAATTTAATCGAAACGTATCCCCTTAGACAGGGCCCAGTTAACTAGAGTTACACTCACACGGCCATACTGACAATATATTTCTCTTCACAGGACACCGCGCTGATGATAGGCTCTGAAAACTACTTGTCCGTTTTATTGTCTCCGTAAAAGTACCGTTTAATAAGAAAACGATGCCAATACGTATTGTCGGTACGACGAACCACATCATCAGCATCTTTACTGGAAAAGAACGCGAAGGAAAACGTTGTAGGAACTAATGCAGCTGTAAATTGTCGCTATTATAAATTGATAATTTCATTTCTGCATAAATGTATTTATGTTTAAACTATTTATATGTTTATAAAGAGAGATATTTATAAAATCTTATTTATGTAACAAACTGAAGAGAGGGTGAATTGCAGCAGAAAGAAACACAAAGTTTGTAACATTTGTCTTAATAGCTGTTACGTGTTAAATTGCATTTCACATAAGTTTGAGAAGCCTCCTTATTTATTACAATCCGTGCAATACATGAAAATACTCCACGGTGGTAGTTTGTTGTTGTGTTTTGCTGCGCTTGTTCAAATTCAGCGCGATGTTCTTAGCATTTGTTTCCATACAAGCAGAACTGTTTCTAAAGAAACTTGGCCCTCGTTCCTTTCTTTCTTTGCATCTGACTCTGCACTAAATATATCAACAGAGATTTGCCATTGTTCGACAGTCGGTATTACTGAGCGCGCTTTCTTCAAAATAGTGAGATGATAACTTCACTGAACACCAGTTTCTGTCTGATGACCGTTTCACACCCACCCTCTCTACATAATTCAGCTTTTCGTCCAGGGCAGCTTTCTGGGCAACTGCAATAATGATTATAATTACAATGCTGTTTAACATAGGCTAGGACTGAATCAGACTTTTCTAAACAATTTTGAGGGGAGAGCTCGTTCAAATGTTCCGAAATTACATCTTTTTCTAATACTGATCAAATGAAAGGACTATTAATAAATTTATTTTCCACTATTTAAGGTAACAATCGAGAAGGAGGTTTAGTTGGAAAACTACTTTACATCTGACAACCTTCCCTACACTCGTCCTAAAATTGTTTTTTTCCCCCCCAAACCCATCTGTATTCCTGTGAATTAAGAGGCAAACTTCAAAATTGTAAAGTCTTTTCGATGTTACGAACTATATACCAGGAGGCTGAGCCTAGTTCAACCCAGGGTGGATGTATCTACAGAGAGGAGCGAGGTTGAATTAGGTTGAAACCAGGAAATAAAAGCTAAACTGACCAGAGGTTAATAAAAGCAAAAGACACGACACGTATCGCCAGCAGCAAGCTTTTAAAACAAATCCGTATTCAAGGCAAAATAATTGTATTGGGTTGACTATAATGAGACAGTACAAAGCAGGTATTCAATACAGCAATATTACGCAGGGCATAAATTACATCAGGGTTCTTACGTTTCGAATTTGTTCATCGAGTAGCTCTAACTGAAGGAGTAAATTACTGCAGATGCTGGAACTGAAAACAATGCTGGAGATCACAGCATGTCAGGCAGCATCCATGGAAAGAAAGCAAGCTGACGTTTCGAGTCTACATGACTCGATAGTCTAGACTATTCAGCACTGATGCTGCCCGACCCGTTGTGATCTCCAGCATTCTTTGTTTTTAGTTCAAAATGAAGTCTTATTGTCAGAATTTTGCAAATTAGTTGACTTGATAGACTCAGTGGAGTTTATGACCTTACTATGTTTTGTGTGATTTTTGAATGATACTTTAAGCACTTTTTGTTTCAAATCTGCAGCTAACGTTTCCTTGTCTTAAGACATCAAATTTAACATGCATTTAAGAAAAAAATAGTAGCGAAATACAAGGTACACATCCTGATTTATATTTATGCATAAGTGCATTAACCAATTTTACAGAAAAAATATGGCAGAAACACTTTAAACTTTTTCTCTAAGATGCGTTTTGGAGTTATACATGCTATTTCTGCTTAATAATGTCTATAAGTCTAGAGGACAGATTCAATTTACAGTTCCAGGAACAACAATTCCTCCTATTTGCATAGAACTATTATACCTTATAAGCAATATAATTTTTCTATGTATGAGAGCATGGATGCCCATTTTTTCCCCAGAAAAATTGAATTGGTGCAAGAAGGGTTCTTGTAATGAAAATCCCTTATTCTTTATCAAGGCAAAAAAAACCTATATTTAAAACTAAAGTGTTCAGCATAGCAGTATTTTTCTATGTGTATCATACATTTTATCAATGATGTAAAGACTTTTACAGTTCAATATACACCCCATTATAAATTTAAAAATGTATTATCATAGCTTCACAAAATATAACAAGCATTTACAAGACATGCCACATTCAGACTTTTTGGTCGTGTATTTCCAGATCTAATTTAAATTATATAAAGCTAATTTGTTATTTAAGACCCATAGGCTAACTATGCTATTTCTCCATTGCACAATGAAATAAAAATCCTGACATCATTACAATTCAAATCACATGCTACATTAATGTTCCATTTCAAATCACACAATTCAGTTGGCAGTTTGCCAGCTGTTAACTGTCCTCCATGGATCCGTTGTCGGCATTATCAAAAAAAATCTGTGAAAATAAAACGTGACAAATTTCACTAATTTCCCCAAAACATATCATGACACTTTCTGAATACTGTGATACAGTATATGTTCTTACAAATGTTAACTTAGGCACATTATAAAAAGAGCTTCATTAAATTAAAGATACTATTAGGATATGAGGATGCATCCAATTTAGGGTATTCAACCAAAGATAAAGGTTAATACCCATTACGAAGCCTTAAATTGAAAGATATATTGATTACCTCAAGGAAATTTGTTATTTTTGATCATTAGCTGAATAAGAAGCCACACAACTGACATTTGTGACAGGCCCTACTAGTGGGTAATAGTACATCAAAGGTTTTCTGCATTTTTTTTTATTGATTTGACAATAAGTTTCATAAGTAGAAGGTTTCTCCGACACACTGGGACTCACATTTCTATTTTCTGCCAAATTACCAAAGTTCACATTTAACAATTTTTTTGTGTGGTTTATAATGTGTTTGCTGGAGAGCACATAGAATGCCATATCTTATGTCAATCAGTAAGACAGAACATTTTACAATCTAAACTACATTGAGCAATTTGGATGAGGGCTGCATTTATTTATATTCAAAACTAATTTACAGAACAAAAACACTGATAAATTAAACCATGATACATGCATGGCAAGTGACAATGGTACTTGAAGGGTTAAATATCTTTTTGAAAATGCAGCTTTCAGAAGCAATGGTATTGTTTTCATGGATAAAGCAGGCGTTTCCCTATTTTATGATTCATGCCACCATCAGTTCTGTTAAGATGAGATGTTACACCCATGAATGTTACATTTTCACCAAGACTAAGAGCCAAAATTAAATCATTTATGTTTCTGAGTTTTTAATGATGGAATCAAAATGAACAAAATGTAATCAATTGTAGACAATATAATAATGCCCTATCACACTTGTTCCAATGAGACTAACTTCATGTATAGTAATAATTAAGGTTATAGATTCGTCCTACAAATCTGGCAGCTATTAAAATTTCATCATCAACTATCAAAAGAACCATGTTATTAATTTATTTATGAACAGGTCTGCTTGGTTCTCCCAAAAGAATGTCTGCTGGCCACCATTTTGTTCTTGGTGATGAAAGAGACTTCAGTTGAAACCATAACTAATAAAACAATCTACATCAAAGAAAAAAAATCATTACTACTTATCCATTTATTTACTCGATTGGCATGGACATTGCTGGCTGGCCAGCATTTATTGCCTGTCCCTTGAGAAGGTCGTGCTGAGTTGCCTTCTTGAACCGCTGAAGTCCCTGGATATTGTCCAGATCTTGTTGCATGTCAACATGACTACTTCAGTATCTGAGGAGTCACAAATGGTGCTGAACATTGTCCAGTCATCAGCCAACATTCCCACTTCTGATCTTGTGATGGAAGGAAGGTCATGGATGAAACAGCTGAAGATGGTTGGGCCTAGGATACTACCCGGAGGAACTCCTGCAGAGATGTCCTGGAACTGAAATGACTTACCTCCAACAATCACAACCATCCTGCTATGTGCTAGAGTTGTCCCCTTGATTCCCATTGATTTGGTATCAGTTCTGCTAGGGCTTCTTGATGCCACTATGTGGCTTTGTCGTCAAGGCTGTCAATGTCACATCACCTCAGGAATTTAGCTCTTGTGTCAATGTTTATACCAAGGCTGTAAGGAGGTCAGGAGCTGACTTGCCCTGGCAGGATCTACAATTGAAATCACTAAACACATTCTTGATGAACAGGTGCTGCTTGATAGCACTGTTGATGGCACCTTCCATCATTTTACTGATGTTCGACAGTAGACTGATGGGTTAATAACTGGCCAGCTTGGATTTGTCCTGCTTTTTGTGCACAAGACATACCGGGGCAATTTTCTAAATTGTCACTAGATGAAAATGTTGTAACTGTATTGGAACAGCTTGGATAGGGGAGCAGCAAGTTCTGAAGCACAAGTTTCAGTACCATTGCCAGAATGTTGTCGGAGCCTATCGCCTCTACAGTATCCAGTGCCTCAAACTGTTTCTTGATATCACCTGGAGTGAATCAAATTGGCTGAAGGCTGGCATCTGTGAATCTGGAACCAGTGGAGGAGGCTGAGATGGACCATCTACTTGGCAGTTCCAGCTGAAGACTGTTGCGAGTGCTTCAGCCTTATCTTTTGTACTGATATGGCATTACATCATTGAGGATGGAGATATTTGTGGAGGCTCCTTCTCCAGCAAAATTGTTTAATTGTCCACCACCATTCATGACTGGATGTGGCAGGGCTGCAGAGCTTAGATCTGATTCATTGGTTATGGGATTGTTTAGCTTTATCACTTGCTGTTTATGCTGTATGACTTGCAAGTAGTCCTGTTTGGGAGCTTCACCAGGTTGACACCTCATTTTCAGGTGCTATTCCTGGCACACCCTCTGCAATCTCCACTGAACCAGCGTTGATCCTCTGGCTTGACAGTAATGGTTGAGTTTGGGATATGCCAAGACATGAGTTTGCTAATTTTTTTGGAGTACAGTTCTGCTCTGTGGATGGTTGACAGTACCTAATGACTGCCCAGTCTTCAGTTGCTAGATCTGTTTGAAATCTGACTCATTTAGCATGGGGCAGGACATATCCAGAGATGGTGATGGTGTTGTCTGGGGCATTGTCAGGTTATTACTCTCCCAGTTTCAGCACTGTGTTTGCAAAGTGGACTGTGC